TTAGGACGTTGGGCTTATATATTATACCAGCTGACCCGACAAACGTTGTTTTGCCATATATATTATTTCAATCATTTTTGTCAAAAATTTAATAGGGGTATGAAAAACAGATGTTGGCCGATTCTCAGACCTACCCGATATGCACACAAAATTTGGAGGAGTTCAACTACGCACACCGAGACACGAGAATTTTATATATTAAATTAATCACGTAATCATTTAAATTAGAATAACAAAGACGAGTACAAATCAATAGATTTAAATACGAATCTTATCTTTAATCTAAAGATTTTAGGCTCGATTATTCTGTACTTAGATCGAGAACCACTAGCCTTTCTGACTTTCCCTTCTAGTAATTATTGGGTAAGCTTGCCCGTGATAGATTTAAGTGTAACACCGTACCGCACTTATAGTTGCTTTCAAAGCTTCTGGGTAAAGGAAATCGGGTATTGTGAGATTTAATCAAATTGGTAAGTAAATTTTTCTTAAACACTGTTATTATAGACTAGCTATTGGTCATTCACTTGCTTTAATAAAGATTTTGTGATTCAAATTAGGCGTTAACAGAGAAAGATAGAGTCAAGGAAGTTAATGGATTTTCTTATTACTTTCCACAAACATTAAAGTAATTCATAGTTCATCACATCATCAACAGCCTTTAATAGTCCACTTCTGGACATAGGCCTCTCCTTAGAGGGTCCTCTTTAGATGGTGAATTCATAATTTGTAGTGTGATTAACAAAACTTTCATCCCCATTTGTTAATTTGCGCTAAACCACTTACGTGTTTTTAGCCGACAGACAACGGAATTCTCCAAAAAATGACAGCAAATAGGTGTTTTTGCTCTTTGTTATTATTTTTTGAAGTCGCTCCAAGTTTTTAAAAAATATTTTCCATGTTTGATGTTTCGGATCTCCGTCATTACACTTCTCTTTGAAACAATACTTCCCACTTGGTTCTATTAAAATTAATAAAAAAAAGGCTTGAAAGGTCTATGGACCCCGGTCGGAACGAAATTCTTTTTTTGCGTTTGCTGTAGTGTCGGAAAAAAATCTTCTTACACATTTTTCGGTCTCGCGCCCATCAGCTCAGAGCGAGTAACGCGGCATAAGGAACTTCGTACCAAAATACCACCCGTAATTCTTGAAAATGAAGAATAACGTCGCATTGCATCAATTGCATGTTTATAAGATAAACAGATAAATTAGGGGGTTAATTTGATCAGGCACCTCACAGACAACCGGTATTAAAAAAATTCAAGTTGCAGGAGTCTAAACCTCCCCGACTCTCCCTCCCGAGGTAAAAAAAGGTGGCAACGCATTTGCGACTCTTCATTGAAAGCGTCCATGAGCGGCGGTACTCACTTACCATCAGGTGACCCGTATGCTTGTTTGCCACCTACGCAATGAAAAAAAAAACACAAAACTAAACGAAGAACATAAAGATTTTTTTTACAAAGGCAATAAATTCATGAGCCCTATATTGTACTACAAGGTAAACAGCCCATCGCAACAAGTACATACAATAAACTTCTGTTATAGCGCCGTATATTCAATAGAAAATATGGCCGAGCCGCGTTCGGGGAATCCCCAATGTAATGTAACTTAAAGTTGTCACGATCAATTTTGATCTTTATTCTGAGAGCCATTTCTTGTAAATAAGGTATTTTCTTTGCTACAAGGCTTGTAAACAAGCACCTAGGCTGCTTGGATGGCACTTGGGTACCATGACGGCTTTGAAAAGTCGCGCGGTAATGTTGATGTCAAGTATATAGAATAAAATACTTTCAGAGATATACTTTCAGAGATGTCATCCGTGTGGTGACGGATTAAGAATACAGAGTGTCACCACCCCTATTCATCCCGTGGGTGTCGTAAGAGGCGACTAAGGGAGCGAAATACGCAGGACAACAGCACTGCAGAGAGAAGGAAAACTTGACCAAACCAACCGACCCGTCTGGCCAGCGTGGTATAGTAGGCCAAAACCTCCTTTCTAAGGAGAGTCCTATGTCCAGCAGTGGACTGTTAAAGGCTGTTGATGATGACTTTCAGAGATGTATCCGGATACATCTCTGAAAGTATGGATGGATACATCTCAGTGTGACGACTAACACCATCGTTAGGTCCGGTCTGGTCATAATCACTACCCAGTAGGCCTGTTGGTCTACTGGGTAGTGAATACGACTGCAAAGCTAGAGGTCATGAGTTCGAATCCCACTCAGAATCGTGCATACAAATACATATGTAAATATATTATGTGCCCGGTTAAAGGCCTTGCTCCCTTGTTACTAAAATTATTCTTGACATATTGTTGGCGCTTTAAACCCGTCTGTCCACCCCCACCCCTAAATGTTGAATGCGGAAATCCTCTCGGATATCAACCACCGGCGGGGTGGTTACGTCGGACTCGAACTAACCAAAAACCAGTTACCAGGTACCAGTTGCCGGGAAACCAGGTGTACCCTAGAAAGGAAATCCCTGGTACACCTCTATCTACCCCTTCTGCGATAAAGACGTAAATGTATGTATGTAGTAAAAGTATGAAAGTGTTACAGAAAACTTGACTCTTATTTCTAGTATTATAACTAGGATTAAAATTATTAATAATCTTTTTAATTACCCAAAAATCCTGTTAAAGCCCAAACTGTTTAATCTGTTTAATATCATCTCAAAGTGAATTAAGTCGAAGTTGAGATTATCAAAATTAAATTTTAACAAGAATTTATTTGACCTCTAATGTCTTAGATCAGCGGTTTACCCCCAATTGTGTAATTAAATGAAGAAATGTAATCAACTTGGAGTGATCCGGGTATTCGTAACTCTTGGTTGTTTGTAATTACATTTAAGATATAGCCTACTGTGGTTTTAATTGTATCCCTTACAAAACAACCACACTTTTCTTTCTTTCTTTTTTAGAAAGACAACTCCCGCACTAGGAATAAATCCTGTGTCGCGGGGGACTTTACAAACATACATGAAACGGACACAAAGTACACCCAGACTCAGAACAACAATTTGTGGATCACACAAAGTGTTGGTCCATGTGGGGTTTGAACCCACAACACTCGGCGTAATAGAACGCGGCGTGGCGACCGCTTTAACCACTACGCCATCTGTGCAGTCACTGCCATAAACTATCTGTAAAATCTAGAGTAGCTGGATACCAGGATAGTTACACAACCTTGACGGGCACGATTTGACAGACAGGGGACGGGACGCGACTCGGGACTCAACTTGACGGACCTGTTGGCCATGGCGTCGCGATACCTATAATAATAAATAAATAATAATAATCTACCACATTCACGCAACGCCATCTAGTCCCAAACTAAGCAGAGCTTGTACTATGGCTACTAGACAACTGATATAAATACATATATACTTTTTTTTCGTAAATACATACATATTATACATAGAAACACCCAGACTAAATCAAACATTAAATGTTCATGCACACAAACGTTTGACTTGAGCGGGAATCGAACCCGCGACCTTTGGAATAGCAGTCCGTTACACAAACCACCGCGCCGGTCGTCAAATAAAAAAAAAATAACTATAAAACTAGCAATAAAAATGTCTATTATTGAACTCGCTCATTCATTTTTTAAATAGTTTAAATAGTACTTAGATTAGTTAAGCTTACCACAATTTTTAATTAAAAAGGAAGTTTTGATATGACGACAAAATATCCTCGATTTTAAACCGACTTCCAAATTAGACGTTGTTAAAAGTCAATTCAAAATTGTGGATTCTATGGTCGGCGGTTTGTATTCTTCTGACTTAACAAAACGATAATAAATGAACTTGTATTAAGCTATCTGCACACAGTAGTGTTCGCCTGTAAAATACTGACAATACAAATAGAACACACGTTGCCATTCCAGAAATTAAAAATAGACAACACTTGATAGAGAGGATTGCGAACTAGAAAACGAGTACACTAAGATTGTTTTTAACCGTGTTTTAAAGAATATAAAACTACTGATACGTGACGAAGATTTTATAATAATTATGGTCTCATATCTGTTATGTATGTCGTAGCATTTAGCATCCTATGACATATATATATATAAAAGACGTGTGGCACTCGGGGACTGCCGTGGTAAAGCTGTTGCATAGCATTTTGTATGAACTTATGCAATTATAATTGTTTATTTATTTTATTTATGCGGTGTTTCTTTTTCTTTGATATTAATTCAAGTTACACTTTTTGAGCGTGGTGACCGATAAGAAAACAATTTTTTTTCTTTTATTAAATAAAAATATTGAAGCATATATAACAATTTGTTTTTAAATAAATAAATAAAAAATATTATTATTAAATCAAATTACATATCCATGTAAGATTTTTCTGCATTATGTTGACGAAATTTCCTTTGACGTTCAGCATTTGATTTTGGTACTGTTTTTTGTTTTGTTTTAGCGTGAGGTTTTTTTTCGTTACGGAATTTCTGGATTCGGTCCCCGCGCTCAAGGCCCTCGATAGAAGCTATGCAATAGCTTAAAAACTCAACTTTCACTGTACACGATCCATGTAGACTTGTATGAAAGGTTTAACGATAGTAGGAGAAGATTATGTGATAAATATAGATAGAAGCAAAAGCATAAATAATATGTTGACATCTAAACACGACCGCCTAATCGCAGGCTAGATAGATAGATAGATATTTGTTTTTCCAAATATGGCAATCTTTTTGATATCACCACTGATGAGCCACAGCCATTCCATCGCCACTGTAAAGACACTGAGTTAGTGTAGACTACCGATATTTATACCGATGCCAAGTGGTATGACAGTGGCTTGGCGTGAACATAAAATAGCAGAATTGAGGCCCTGATCTCGTGTAGAGCCAAGCTTCTAGCTCTACAAGTTGACAGTTGACAGTGCGAGCCATATGATCTCGTCTTAGCATAATTTTACATGAAAATGAATTTGGTGGGATAACGAAGTCGTCTTATACGAGTAACAAACTGCAAATAAGTGAGAGAAAACTGGTCAGGATGTCGGTTAATTCAAAGTGGCGGTTACCTGACGTTTTTTATGTTGGTGTGTTGAATGAATGTCGGACTCGTGCTCGTATTCATTAATGAATATGACGACGGGATGGCGTAGTGGTTTGTGTAACGGACGTCAATTCCAAAGGTAGCGGGTTCAATTCCCGCTTAAGTCATGTGTGCAAGATCATTTAATATTTGATTTGGTCTGAGTGTTTCTATGTATAATAAGTATGTATTTACAAAAAAGAAAGTAACTGTGTATTTATATCAGTTGTCTAGTACCCATAGTACAAGCTCTGCTTAGTTTGGGGACAAGATGGCGTTGTGTGAATGTGGTAGAATATTATTATTATTATAATATAAATGTACATTATAAATGCGCACTTCAAACTACTGCTATACAGTATAGTCTCTTTAAAGGTTGCCTGTGAATGATCGCAGACTGCGACAAGGCCGCCCATTGTATCTCTGCTTTTTTTTGTTTGTGCTCTACATTGTATGTATCCTATTATAGTGTGCAATAAAGAGTACCTATCTATCTGTTTCTAAATAGGTACATATTATAGATCGTGATCACCACAAATTTATTTAACTTGGGTGGGGATCGAACCCTCTGGTTGGTCTAGCGGTCAGGAGCAATTACCCTTTTTTTTCCGTGCGGAAATCCCCTCGGATACCACCTATCGGTGGCATGTCGGACTCGAACCGACTAAAACCGCACGCCGTCTCAAGTACTAATAGCCGGGGAACCAGGTATACCCTAGAAAGGAAGTCCCTGGTGGAAGGAGCAATTACCCTAAGAGAAAAAGACTTGAGTTAATATATGTCTTATGGCAATTGAAACTAATTGTGGTGTGTTTATTTCCAGGAGGGGGGCGCGGATGTCGGGGGGTGGTGGCGCGGGGCTCATGTCGTGTGTGCGCGAGGGCTCGCTCGAGCCGCCGTACCGACCTCCGCACACCGACACACACAACCATGGTAAGGAGTATTTTAAACTTTGAAATTCCGTGAACACCACATGCTGCGTGTACACATATCCCTATTCGTCAAAGCAAAAATGATCTACAAAAATTGTTTCTAAAATCAAACAAAGCATCTTACTGTAAGTTATAAAATGAATGTTGATGTATGTTCTAGGCGAAGGGCGCACGGGTCGTTTCCTCCGTGGTCTGCGGCGCATGTTCAAGCGTCGCGGAAGCGGCGTGCGCGCAGACGCTTCGCCCGACCCCAAGAGCAGCTCCACCAGCGAGCTGTTGGACGCTGACCGACATGCTCGGAGAAAGTCAGTATTATTTTATCATCATCAACAGCCTTTAATAGTCCACTTCTGGTGGATTTGTCCTACTATACCACGCTAGCCAGCACGGGTTGGTATAGGGTTAGTTTCAAACTTCTCTTTGCAGTGCTGTTGTCCTGCGAAGAGAAGTTTGCTCCCTTAGTCGGCTCTTACGACACCCACGGAATAAATTAGGGGTGGTGCTACTCTTTATTCTTCGTCACCACAAGGACGTTACATTTATAACTGAAGTAAATGTGGACCTTACATTAATATTAACCAAGTTTTGACTTTAAACGATAGGAGAGCTATGTTTCCGCAAAAAAACTATGATTTGTATTAATATATTATTTTAACCGATCTCCGAAAAGAAGCCGTTGTCAAATAAAATATTTTTTCGTTTCTTTTTTGGGGAAAGCCATTTGTAAACCGGTTGTAAGTACTTAAGATTGGGCCCATCTAATGACGAAAACACTACATCTTCTTCCTCCACTAGTTTGGGGTCGGTTTTCGGTCTAGTACGACACAGCTGAACTTCGATTGTTCACGCGGAGAAATTGCCATCAGTCCTCCACAACCCAGGTACTAGGCGATATCGGAGTTCTGTAGATAGACTTTTGTTGATCTTTTTAGGGCTCAAACTATCCGTAACGATTACCACAGATGATCGTATAGCACCTGGGACCTACAAATTAACGTTCTCCAACACACTACATTCCATTTAGTAAATATAAGGGACGAGGAAAATAGGATACTCGTAGTACGAGTAAACTCTATTTTAGACGAAATCGATGATAATATTTATTCTAAGTTAAATTATGACAAAGATGTTTTGAGGATTTTTGTAGCTCTTCAGAACTTGATATTATGTAGCTTAGCTCTGATATATTCAGTAATTATTGAATGTTAGAACGTAAAATAGAAAATTCCTAACAAACAAAGTATAGAAAGATTGTGATTAAGCTACACGTAGCGCCCTCTATAAATTTGTGGTGGTACTTTCTTGCTTATACTTCACTAACAAGACAGCTGCTGTCATTTAGTTATCCGTACAAAATAGATGTTGACTTTTCGGAATTACTTGAATTAAATGCAATAAATAAGGTTGTAAATAAACTTTAGGAGGAAAAATATTTGCGACATCTGACACATAACGCCATCTAGTTTCAAACCAAGCAGAGCTTGTACTATGAAAACTGTTGAGAAACTGCGTTGAGTGTTGTGGGTTCGATACTCACATGGGACAACACTTTGTATGATAATCAATTGTTGTTCTGAGTCTGGATGTTCTTGGTGTACGTTTCATGTATGTTTGTGAAGTTCCTTGCGATACAGGATATATACCTAGTACAGGAGCTTCCTTAAAAAAAAAATTGCTTATCGTCGGTTTCCTGTGAAGCCGTGGTAAATGCGGTCGAACTGGCCCCTTTGTGCTGAAGGCAGCCATGGGGCTCACCCATGTAAATGAATGGTAAAGTTCTTGGTAATATAATAATTTTCAATACCAGTGAAGCTTCTCTAGTTACTATCGCTAGTGATAATCTCCCCATGAAGTTATGGTGACGATTAAAGTGGGGACGAGCCACTATGCTAGTGTGGAACTCTTTAACCGAAACTCACTTTCTCTTTCACATCATTATCACATTAACAGCTTTTTAACAGTCCACTGCTAGACATAGGCCTCTCCTTAGAAAGGAGGTTTTGGCCTACTATACCACGCTGGCCAGACGGGTTGAGGGTTTGTGTCAAGTTTTCCTTCTTTTTGCAGTGCTGGTGTCCTGCGTTGTTTTGCGCCCTTAGTCGGCTCTTACGACACCCACGGGATGAATTGTGGGTAGTGACATTCCATATTCTCAATCCGTCACCACACGGAGATTCTCAGTTAGATTCTTTAGAGATTTCTCTTAGAGAAGCTTTAACTGTGTGTGCCATGAATCTCCATTGAATAAATTTGTTTGGGTTGTTTTTCCATTGAATCTGCTAGACATATATCTAATTTAAAACCAAAGCCTTAACAATTAACCTACCGCCTACCTTCGGATATATCATCATCATCATCACCTTTCGCTGGTCAGACGAATTGGTTTAGGGTTTGACAAGTTTTACTTCTCAGTTTTGCAGTTGTCCTGCGTAGTTTGCTACCTTAGTCGGCTCTTACTATACCCACAGGATGAATAAGGCTGCGTATTCTTGATCCGCCAGCACATAGACTTTTACCACATTTTAATTAACAATATAAAATTGTCTACAGGGATGGTGCATACGGCAGCGGGCTATCCGTGTCCCACGACTCGGTATTCACCGGCGAGCGCTCCGGCGACGAGTCGAGCGACGAGCGCGCGCCCCCCGCTCACCTCTCCCACCTTGCATCATCTCATCGGGTGAGTAAAAGCTTCCAGTACCCGATAATGAGGGCCTAGTGTGATCGGGATCGAGTTGATGTAAAATAAACTCACACTGGGCCTTCTGATGCATGGCATTATTTCGCAAGCTGAGTGTAAGACTGTGTATAAAATTACATACTAGGTTTCTTAGTGCTCCTGAATGGACCAACAATAGGCCAGTCAGACTTCTATTTGACATGTACCCAAAAAAAGTTTTTGCAAAGTTAAACATTGAATAATAAATTGTTTTAGTACAGAGTTCCACTGACTCTTGCTCCCGTGCGATGAGGTATTATTGAACCTTAACTATTTAAAAACAAAATGGTCTTAAAGTTAGCATTGGGGTGATAGTGCGGAGCATGCCAATCGTTGTGATTCTGCCCAAGCCAATCATGATGAACAATCTTAAAATAATCATAACGAAATCATCCTTACCACGAACATTATCACTCCGCATACCTCCATTCTGTACCACTGAGATACTGAGGTAGTTCGACTTATCAACGCTGAGATGAACTTGTAGCTTCCTACTTAAATTGCAGAGTAAGCTTAGTATGATACCCTTGTATTATACTAAGCCCACTCTGCAAGCCTATACTAATACTAAGCCCACTCTTTACAACACTACGGTACAACTTTCTCGGATTAATATCGAACATTTAGTTTTTTTTTTTACAAATTTATTATTTTATTTTACGATTATTTTACAAATAGAAGGGCATTTGAAACCAAATACTTTCTGGTATCATCAACAGACCCCCCCCCCCCACCCCACCCCCCTTTATAATACAGGTTTTGGCCTACTAAACCACGCTGGCTAGACGGGTTAGTATAGGGTATGTTTGAACTTTTCCTTCTTTTTGCAGTGCTGTTGTTTTGCACAGTTTGCTCCCTTAGTCGGCTCTTACGACACCCACGGAATGAATAGGGGTGGTGACACTCTGTATTCCTAATCGGACACCATCAGATATCAGTACTTGATATTAATGTCAACTTAATCTAATAACAGACTAAGTAACACCTTTATACTACTGAAGTTTATTTATTTGGTCAGCCAATGATTATTGCACTAAGCATTACATATTCAACTTAAAGGCTAAGCATGTGTGCGTGCAATAATCACTTACAAGCTAACACCACATGCACAAAAAAATACACTCCGCCTTCATTATATTTTTATTTTGGTATTCTGCTGTTTCCCTGTCTCTTCGATATACAATATTTCTCTCGTCAAATAGCTCTGTTAGTGTGTGTAGTTAAGAACACCACTGTGTAACCAAATATCTGTCAAAATAATCATATCATAGTATGATTATTTTGACAGAAATTTGGCACAACATAAAATACAATAAAAGGCTTTTGTTTAAGTTCGAAGACCTCTACAATTTTGATGATATAATTTTTAAGTTATTGAAATTTAAAAATGATAATTTATAATCATGAATAATATATATTTATATGATATAAAATAAATTAAATAATTTTGTTTAGACTGTTAATTAATATGTATGCCAAACCTTCTATTTTTCTGACGAATATCCTGCCATTTCTGACCCACACATACTTGCAGTTCATTTCTTTTGGCCTAAATCATTGTGGTTGCGTGGAGGGCTCTTTTACTTGGTGAGGGGTGTTCAACCACATATATCGGAGTTGAAGTTGACTATATTTTGGCTCGTAAGTGCTCGTATATACTCGTATATTTTAGTAGGTATTTAACACTAGCCTCGTATGCTAATTCCCACCCACACAAAAGAGAAGAGTACCAAAGCATTTCCAGCTGTCTGACTTCTTCCTGTACATAAAGACAGTGGGAATCTCATTACAAATAGGCTTACAATACGAGACATTGACGCACTTAGGTAATCCTCTTGTAGCTGACGTCATTATGACGTCACTGTTTAACCTTATACTAAGCTTATTTTATTTGTAATATTCGACCGAGGGCAACTAGTATATGAAACTGAAGAGTTTTGTTTTATTGACCGCCTTGTTTCATAGACTTGAATGAATGAAATGTCACGATGAATGATTTAAAAAAAAAATGTTTTACTTGATGGCTAATAAAAACATTTAAAGATAAGGCCCCTCCGCCCCCCGCCCCTCAAGAACTTGGCACATTATCATCAGCAGCCTTTATAGTCTACTGGTGGACACAGTGTCGCGGGATGTGTCTGTCTGTTATTTGTTCACGCCTTAACCGCTAAACTGATTTAGATTAAATTTAGTTTAGAGATAGTTTGTGGTCCGGAAAGGGATATAGGATTGTTTCTATCCCAGAAATCATGCTTTAAGGGTGTGAAAAGAGGGGTGGAAGTTTGTAAGGGTAATTAAAAACCGCTGAATCGATTCATGTGAAATTTTGGTATGGAAATAGTTTGATTATTGATAAAGGACATAGGCGACTGCACGGATGGTGTAGTGGTTTAAGCGGTCGCCACGCCGTTTTCTACCGCGCCAAGTGTTGTGGGTTCAAACCCCACATGGGTCGACACTTTGTGTGATCCACAAATTGTTGTTCTGAGTCTGGATGTTCTTTGTGTCCGTTTCATGTATGTTTGTAAAGTCCCCCGCGACACAGGATATATTCCTAATGCGGGAGTTGTCTTTTTTAATAATAATAAAATAATAGGCTATTTTTTACTGAATAAAGCTAATATTTTTACAGATTACACAAGTTTTTGTAGTTGTATTAATTTCTAAATAGATGTCGCTACTAGTAGTTATCTATATTTATAACAAACTTATGGTAGTATAATTTTTTTGAAATCTTAATTTGAAATACCTTTATCAATATTTAAGACGAATGATAATGATATTTGAGCGCTGTACAAGAAAAGAAAATAGTTTGTAATAACTGGTAAGTTAATAATTCCAAACGAGCCATTTATACAAAAAGATTATTATATACATAAGCTATATTACATTCATAAACTCACGTTTTTATCCCCGAATGGGGGAAAGACAGCAGCGTATTAAAATAAACATTTTCAAAACAAATAAAATGTTTGGTTTTTCTTTATATACATAGATGGCGCTGTAAAAGATTTGCAAGTACTAAATATTGAAATCAATGTTTATTTTTTTGTACCGTTAGCTGGCCATCATATAATTTTCTATATCTGTATTTACTATATTTAATTGTATATCTCTGCTACTGATATGCAGGACGGATAGAGAAGGACACCAGAACCTGTATGAACCACTGTATCAAGGTTCATATAGAGAGAAACAAGATTTAAGTAGTGTATTTTTTATAATTTTTTAACCCCTTTTTAACAATTTTGTGTTATGTAAAAATTTGTATGGGTCTTAGATTTATGCCGTAGGCGTTTTTAGAGGGGCTCGTGGCTACTTGGTAACCGAGCAAGTTAGCACATTGCAAAGTTAGCAATCATAGTCAGGTCAGTCTATAGATGGGTGACCATACTTAACACATTGAGACCCGTCCGTACCTCAAAGAGCACGCTAAGTCTTCGCGTGTCTGTCCCAGTTGTCATACAAATATCTGTGGCAATCGTTACGGGTAATTGGCTCCCTAAAAAGTCCGATAACACTCTTTCTACAGAACTTCGATATCGCCTAATACTTGGGTTGTGGAGGTCTGACGGCAATCGCTCCGCGTAGCTAATCGAAATTCAGCCGTGTTGTAGTATACTGAAAGCCTAACCTCGTTTGGGAAAGTTTGGAGGAAGGCTTGGAGTATGATGATTGCCGGTTTTCTGCCACGTGGCTTGTTGTAACTCATAGCGTCTAATAATATAATAGTACTAAAAAGAATGACGTCAAAACTTCCGGTATAAAGTCTCAACACATTATGACATTACACCAACAATCCCACGAGGGAGTGCAATTCTTTGTAGTATATTACATTGTTCGTTGATCTCAGACCCATCACACTCAAAATGTAGTAGCAAGAACTAAAAACATACATTTTTGTCACCCACACTTGGACTATATCCTATGTTGCACAAAAAACTCCTAAACGCCGAACAACAGTTTGTGAATCACATACGAAGTGTTGTCACTTGTGGGGAGCGAACCGACAATACTCAAAGCAATAGGAATCGGTGAGGTGATGAGATGAGGTTTAGATGTTAGTGATGCTGAGCCAAGGGTCGTGGGTGCGATTCTGTGAGAGTCATCCTTCGCCACAAATGAACCGGCTGGAAGGAGTAGATAGAAGGGTATTAAATGTCCACATTTTGCTGATCGCAATTTTAGGACCAAGCCTATTGCCGTCAACGAATCACAAATATTTATAAATACATACATATTATAGATAAATTACACCCAGACACAACAAATGATCATACATCATATAATTCTTGTCCTGGGTGGGAGTCCAATCTTAACCTCCGGCTTAGCAATCAGGTTCGCTAACCACTAAACCAACAGTCCCGTCATACATATCCATACTTCCATACTTATAAATGTGAAAGTGAGTATTTTTGTTTATTACGCTTTCACGCCTAAACCACTAAACCGACTTTAAAATCCTTTCACCAATAGAAAGGTACATTATCAGTGAATAACATAGGGAACTTTTTACCGCGAAAACCGACATACACCCGGGCGGAGCCGTGGGCAAAAGTCATTAAAGAACAATACGTTAATATCTTCGTTTACAAAACTTAACATGCATAACAATAAAAAACCGTACCTTACTCATATTATTCACTTAACGTTTATTGAACAAACCCCAGGTTAGGTTAAAACATGTCGGGCTATGTTTACACGACCCCGCTATTGTTTCCAGCGGAAGTTTTAAGATTATTGTCCTAGATTGTCCAGATAGCTTTAGGTATAATAAACTTGTTCAGGTTCTTACTTAAATATATGTATATAATTATCGAGACTGCTTAAAGAACAAGCATGTTGTAGTGGCAGTAGGCTGGTCGAGTTAAAAAATTTAATATCATCCTAAGTTACAACTGCAGGTTTTTGTCACTACATTGTTTTTGTTTCTTATTTGGCCATTGGCAAAATGAGGAAACCGTAGGTATCTTTCAAAAAGACGAAAACTAATTCATCAT